TCTGTCGGCTTATCAGGTTGATGGGGACGAACCCGAGCATCCACCCGAATCAGTCCCCGGCACTTTTACATTCCGCAGCGACCACACCATCGAGGTCGACAACAGCCCGTCCAAAGGGTTTGGTTCGGCGGCCGGCCAGGCCAGTCTACGGCAAGTTCGCAAATCTACAGCACCCTCTACCCAGATGCCTGGCAGTTTTCCCGGTGCCTCGGAGGTATCGCCAAACAAGGAGAACGATGTCCCGCTTGCCCACAACGGCATCCCCCACGGAATGACCAACAAGAAGCGTCATAGAGCCAGCTCAGACGAGGACGACGATGACGAAGGCTCCAGACGAGGCACGAAGAAGCTGCGCAAGAACCCGCCGGTGGCAGAAGGACACGCTCTCGTGGCGCCGAGGCTTGTGGGTCGGGCATCCCCTACCAAGAAGGCACTGGGCTCCACGCCTCAAACGCCTCAAACGCCCAGCCCACAAAAGAAAAAGAAGACGGGTCTGAGCCTAAGCCGACTGCAGATGCTCGCCCAGCCGAAAATCCGAAGATAGGCGGTTATGTCTCCTCGAACTGCCACGTCGGGATAGTTTAGGATTGATATTCTACGTTTACGGTATACGACTTTCACGGTGTAATGCTATCATGATGTTGGCTTGACTCGACCGCCCACTCAAGAGGGTAGTATTGCATCTGTTGTGGAGACCTTTGATGGGATATGTTCTCTGCAGAACATGGCGGATGTGGGCAGATATTCCCCATGTCTGACACGGACCCTCATATTCATGAGGGCAGCTAATCTGGTTTCTTTGTTTATGTTCACGTTGAGGAGAACTATGTTCCGCGGTGGACATGGCTCTGTATAACTAAAGGGGAAAGGAAAACTTGTTTCACGATCGGGAGAGGGGAATTCGGCGGCAGGTATGAGGCGTTTGGGCGGTTCTGGCGTTGTTGGGATACTACGATGAGGAATGAATGAAACTCGAGCTCAGCACTCTGTCTGATTGGACCGGGACGGTCCTATGTATTATTCGGAATGGGATTCAATGACGATCTAACTTGTTCACTTGGCTCATCGTTTCGTTGCTGATATCACTGTGAGATGTCTCGAGCGTGAGTTAAGTACTATTAAGGTGTGATGCATACTTAATCTACCTGGTAGCCTCTATACCACCCGAACTTAATTACAGACACCCTACCTAGCTACTATCCCTTCACGGTAAGAGATATCGGTAGCATGTGAGCGTCATTGATCCGCTATATACCATCAGGAGCGAGAGTTGACCTAATGGAAGTGGGCAACGTTGGAATGCGAAGGAACCACGTCTGTCGAGGTCGGGAATCGACGTACGTACCTGCTTCTACATGTGTAGCTATAGTACCTTACTCATATCATGTCACTACCCAGAGGCAAGGACTTGGGTATGTGACTGGTCATTCAACCGACGTTCCGGAAACCAGCAATCATCATCCTGCTTGCTGCCCATGCATTCAAGTTCACGCCATTCCTACACCTGATCCAACATCTCCCCGTCGGTCTCTACCTGCTCTATCTATCTGGCTATCTCTACCTTTCGTTACTTACCACTTACCTACCACATACCGACCGACTGCCTACTCTTATTCAGACCATGCACAATGTCAGAACAACCGTTCACCTGGACCTCCTGCCGACACCCCTCCGATAGCCCGCTCCGCGTCCTCAGCCACGAGGCCCAACTCGTCTGTGACGCGGTTCCCAACGCCGCCGTCTGCTGGGTATGTGGCGATATCTTCTACCAGGGGGACGGATACCTCAGTCTTGGCCGGAGCCTCTGGCACTGGGGGTGTTACCGGTGTTTGCTCTGCGCAGATATCACCCGACCAAGAGCGTGGGATTCAGATAATTACCATGACCATGACGATGAAAATCATGATGTAGTAACTAGAGAAAACGGGCTCGATTCAGGCACGAGAGCGAGCAGGTGTGAAGAAGGGCGGGAGACTATCGAGGTCCCATTATGCGTGTACTGCACTATCGCCTGCGAACACGACAACAGTGCCACTCCGCCGAAGAAAGCACTCGATAGCATCGAGTTCCGGCCGGTATGGCAGGCCACCAACGCCATGATGAATCAGACCCAGCTCGGGGGTGACAGTTCGATGGACATTCCACCATCGTCTCCCATCCCTCACTTAGACGAAGACGGCGGCGAAACCACGGGTATTAGCAGTATACTCCCAGGCGAGACGATAGCAAGAATACACATCCGGCGTTCGAGGCAGGATCCGCGGTTCGCGGAACTCGATGGCATAGTCCCGCTAGACTCAGCCGTGCAGATGCAAATCTCGACGGACCTCGACCACCCCTTTCACACGCACACGCACACGCCACAACGTCCTCCTCCCGCTCTTGTGAGACGACCTTTGCCGTGGCTACGTCAGCGTAACCAGGAGGAAAAGGAGGAGCGGCCGGCGTCTGTTCTTGATGCACATTTCCTCCCGTGTTGTAACGAAAAAACGGCCCGATCGTCTCACGCTGGTGAACTACTCGTGTGTGAGCCTGGGCTAACCGAGGGAGATATAAGACTTGGTGTGAACTTTCATGTACATCGATTAACCGACTTAGTCGGTCGGGAGTTTCACATTAAGCGAATAACCACACAAGATCCCGCAGGGCCAGTAATCGGCCTAGAGCCCATAGATGTCGAGAGGATGACGCCCGCGGAAATTCGATCATCCCCGCAGCCCGCTGAGCGGGGTTTAGCTGCCACTGATGAAGCGCCGAAATTGCTGACCCCGACGCTTCCAGGGGAGGAAGATGAGCACAGCAGTATTGACACCGAGATCGACATCGCGAAGGCGCACACTCACAACACCAACACCAAAGCAGAACTAAACAATGACACAATCGCCGAGAAGAAGCCAGAGGGTAAAGGGAAGAGTGTAGCCTGGGACTCAACCGTCGCTGGAGGCGAGAGTGATCCGGCATCCGATCCGGGGAGCGAAAGCAGCCATGAAAGCTACGAACGGGAACTCGCAGACTATTACATACCAAGAAACCCGCCGCGAAGAGACGGGGGCGATCCGCTCAAACGACCGCCAGCCTCCATCCTGCGTGAGACGCCCGCGCAGTCGAAGGAGTATCTGGAGTTGTATGAGCCGGATAAGAGAGACGAGACGAGGCTGGCAAGTCTTGCTATGCCCGGACGACAGCGGGGTCGGCGCGTTGGGAGGAAGGTTTGTTCGAAGTGTGGGCATTAGGAGTGAGTGGGTTGACTGGATTGGATTGGATTATTGAGATTGATGGTGTGTCGGGATATAAGTACCTATGATTATGATGAATGGGTTTGTGGATAATGATAGTTTACGAGTATGCTTAGGACAGAATGTATTACTTGAACCGCTTGTATGAAGTGACTATAAAATCGATTAGGTAGGTATTCATTTGTTTCGTTCCTCGTAAATTCCTAGCTCTCGTATCGTGTACAGTGTTGTAATACAAGGCCATACGTGTATCCCATCCCATGTCGTCTCATATTATAATGATTGCATATAAAAGAAAGCTCCACCTATGGATCCCATCTACCCATACAACCATCCGTCTAAATCCGCCGGCACCACGACACTATGAAATCCTCGAGATGTATTGCAAGGGAAATGCGATATAGGCAGCCATCGTAGACCGTCGAACACACAATATCGCAAGCCGCGAACATAAAATGAAGACAAGAAAGAAATTAGTTCTTCACCGCGCGACTCATGGGTGCGGTGCCCTTGCGCTGTGTATACAGCATGTAACCCAGGACGACGGCGGCGAAGGTGCCGAGGATGAAGAAGTTGTCTACGGCCGTCACGTTAGCTTGCGCTCTCTGGGTTTGAAGCAGAATCTCTAGTCGAACAGCTAGTATGAGAAGGAAGAGAGAGAGAGAGAGAGAGAGAGAGAGAGAGAGAGAGAGAGACAAGAGAGGAATACTCACGAAACGCAAAACCAAGCGTCCCCTCGACGAAATTCACAAAGCCCATGAACACGCCGACGATGCCGTTGATGACGAACTGGAACAGGTGTACGATGGCGGCGAATATGCCGCGGATCGTCTCCAGGACTGATTCGGCGAGGTGGGTTATTCCTGACGTTACGCCCATTTCGAGAGTAGATTAGTTGGGATTTGGTCGGGGTTTGTTTACTTGATTGTTTAGTTGGTGATGGTGTTCTAAGAATCGTGATTAGGTAGATTGCCGGAGTTTAGAATTAGTGGCGTGTTTACCTACATTGTACGACTTTATTATACGCTGCTGTGAATGAAGCCAGGAAGAGAAATTGGAAAGAGAAAAGTGAGTAGGTTGACAAATGAATAAATATATATCTCGCCGTAAGACAAAAATACAAAAGATCAATTTCGCAAATTGTCTCTGTTCCCTTCTTCTTTTCCATGCGCCACGTACATACGTCAGATCCAGACCCAAACAGGGCAGCACAACGAAGTTTTGACAGCATTCGCTGACCATCTGCTCCGCGCGCGCGCAAGCCAGACAAAGAATCTGCCACACGGTGATGACGAGGTGGTGTCGGGAATGGTGATGTCATCACTTGGGTTACTTAGTCCAGGCGTTACAGATACAGTCTTTTTACTACTCTAAGGAGATGATTGGATAGAGATGCCTGTGCTTATTGGACTGCTGAATGAGGCAATGACATGGTACGGCTAGGGTCTTGATTGGCTGAGATCTTGCTGCTCTGTCTCGCCGCAGTTCCGTGTCTTGGGAACGAAACTGATAGGAGTCACTCTGGCTCTACAGTCGCGTCTTTTATGAATAGGTATTTAACTAGGTACCTTATCAAAACTATAACTGCAATTTGGCACTTTGAACAATTTTAACGGCTATGCATGCATACCTACATATACCGTTACACCCTCGCAGATAAGAAAACAACAGCACAAAACAGAACAATGCTACCACCAAGACCAAGATACCGAAGAATTTAAGCCAAAGAAGAAAAAGGGAGCGTACAATCTCCCAAACGAATCACGATCCCGGCCGGACTTGAACCGATAATCTCCAGAGGCTTTTCATTGCCGCCGAAATCCAGCGCCCTACCATTGAGTTGGGCCACGGAACCAACCTTCTTATCACCCGTTCCTCCTAGAGGCACGTGACGATCGCCTCGTTGTTGCGTCTTACACTTCAGGTGAAGGGGGTCTTGAGGTATGTATGATTTAAACACGACATCATGGGGGAATTCAGGCTACGGGATTGCTTGGCTCTAGTCGTGGCTGGGATTTACTAAGTTCCGTCTAAGTGTCTGTAGTAGGTAGGAACGCGGATAGATGCAGGAATAGGAGGCACACGGGCACCAACTTGCAAGTAGATAAATATATAGTTCAACAGGCAACGTAATAACAAAAGCAGGTACGTCTTCACATTGATTAAAACACCGCATTGCAATTTGGCGTACCATAGGGTAACTTATCTAGGTACAAAGTGGCGAGGGGGGAGTGTACGTACACACAACACGACACAAATTCGAGCAGCATCCTCTAGGTCTTTTTACCATTTAGTAATCTACCATCTTTTATTTTATTTTTTTTCCGTGCCAGAATCTTCATAAGACCATACGTTTAAGGGGGGGGGGGGGGGGGGAGAGACGATAGATAGCGGGGAAACCCTTATAAACAAGAATAAAAAAAAGACTGAACAGAGTGGTATTATACTCCTTTAACAAACATGTTTCCCAAACGCCACCCAATGCCCGCCAACCATCATTCAACACTCATTCTCGTTCCATACCTGCGTAGCTGCGTTACTCACGCCGTAGTCTGCGTCTGCGGATGCGCATCGAGATCCACATCCGCGACGAGGGTGCGCTGATGGGCGGAATTGCGGACGAGGTTACTAAAGTATTTGAAGGCGACCTCGCTTTCCGTGCGCGTCTTGAGCGTCTCATCCCGGCGTGAGCCGAGCTGCTCGACGGAGCGCGTGAGGCCGACGCGGAGGTTGTCGGCGGGGAACCGGAGGACCTTGCGCACCGAGCTGGCGATGCGGGTGCTGTTGGCGTGCACGTAGTCCATGGAATCTAGCCGGGCCGAGAGTTTGGCGGATAAGCGGTGAGGAAGCGATTGTGGGATCTGCTGGAGGACGTATGCAGCGGCAGAGATAACTATAGACATGTATTTAGCGGGGATAATATGGTCGTGTCTGGTGTATGAAACTTACCGGCCAGGGCAACTGTGGGGATAATCAGTTTCCTGAGGTTTTCATTTCCGATGATCTTTGCGGCGCTTAGTGCATGGTCTACCCAGCCGTATCCGCCAACTAATCGTCCGCCTAGGGCAGTTGCTAATGTCAGAGCCATGCCGGTACCGGCCACCTTCTCCTGGCGTTGCATGAGAGTCGACCAGTCGACGAGATCCAGAAGTTCCGTAGGCAGGTCAATTTCCTTTGCCAAGATATCCCGTCGTCTTCGGAACATGACATCAGGTCGGAAACTGAGGTCGTGATATTCATTTCCGAGATGAAGGATGCCAAGCTGCTTGATGGCGTTGACTCCGCTGACGGCCCTGGAACGAGCTTGTTCTTCACAATTTGTGACGGCGGTCGAGATCTCGTTGAGCATCGCTTCCTTGAGATCCTCGGCAAAGTCGAACACGCCGAATAATCCTGGGTACGGTACGCCTAGCGTGCTATCACCAGCATGGGCGATCGCCGAGTTGAGGGCGTTTCTTGAATGATCGTAGATATCCTTGCAGGTTGCCTCGATAGTTTGGTCAATTTCATCACCTACTTCTGCTTTCGCTTTCTTAGAGGATTCCAGTTGCGGCTCAATCTCTTCCAAATCCTTTGTCACACGGTCTATCTCGGACTTTGCCACCTCTACGTTGACGGTGGCGAGGACATGAAGATCGTTGAGAATGTTCATGAGATAGGTCTTGGCGGGGGTGAGCTTAGACCGTGCTCGTTTTTCCAGAACGAAGTGCCTTAGAGACTGCTCTAGTTTCCGGAAGTCTTCCATTTTCTCTTTCTCCTTCCCCTTGCCCTTCGGATCATTGCTCGGCTCGTCCCCTCCGCCACCTCCGCTAGAGCTACCACTGCCTCCCCCACCGGGACCACCCGGGGGCGAAGGGGCCATTGGGATGGCGTTACTTGAGACGAAATGTACCAGCTCTGTAGATTCCTTGAATGTGCGGGGACTAAGACCATACACCTGATCCAAGATCAGCTTCTGGCATCGCTCCTTGTCGCGAATCATATCAAAACCATTGACGACCATGAATATGTAGGCTTTCTCTGCTGCCGCGGCCCAGATGAATTCTTTGGCCGACTGTGTAAAGTGGTTAGCAGCAGAAACGACGAAGACAACAACGTCGATCTCTTCCTGTCGAGCAAAAATAGCGGTAGTCTTGGTCGTGTCCGAGTTGAGGCCGGGCGCATCGATCAGGGCAATGTCCACAACGCCGTTGTTCAGAAGCGACTCGTCCACGGTGCGGACATCCTTGACGTACACCTTGCACTGCATGTATGTCGAGTTATCGATCACGATCTGTTCGAGTTCGGCGAGCGGAAATACATCGTAGGTTGATTCGTCGTGTCGGTTATAGATGGCGTCCTTGTGTATGGCGTGCACTTCCTCCAGGCCTCCGTTTTCCCGTGCGTCCAAAACCTCGCAGAAAATACTCGTGCAGGGTTGTTGGTCTTCGGGCAACACCTTGCGCCGCAGCAGGGCATTGCAGAAGGTCGACTTGCCAGCGTTCAAATCTCCGGTTATCAGGACCTTGCTAGATGTATCATCAATTCTTTCCCGTAGCGATGCCAGGTGCTTAATGCTTGTGCGTATCTTGCCGTCAAGCAACGACGCCACAGAGCCCTTCTCCAAAGAGTGGACGAGCTCAGCCTGGTTCAGGGCGCCCAGCTTGAGATCGAGCTTAAGGATGGAGAACTCCTGTGCAATCTGGGGTGATATTAACCGAGGATCTTCAGCGGCAGCTCTGGTTTCGGCATCCTTGCTAGACTCGGCGGGACCGTCGTCAGACACAGTAGTCATGGACCGTCGTAGAGGCCGTGGCGAGTGTGCAGGTTCGCCAACGGTAGAGAATGCACGGTGTAGGCCGGGACCTGGCGCAGGCCGTTCGGACGCAGCCATGTCGGTGCGCTGCACGGAGGGGTAGATAGCAGGCCAGGCGGCATTTGTCTCCTGGAGGCCCTGCAGGAGATCGACGACCCTGTTGATGGCGCGGCCCAGGGCGACCCGCTGCTGGTTGTACCATAGCTGCGAAATGGCGGTGACCTGGTTCCGCTGGTCGGTCTCGGGATTGCCGGTCGACTGTCGCGACAGGACCGTGTCTCCGGAGAGGGTCGGATCGGTTCGAGGCGAGCCCAGGGGCAGCTTGGATGAGCCGGGCTCGTCGCCGGCGATGCTGCTCCCGCCATACCCCGAGTCGCGGTCAAGCAGAGATTGCAGTCTGTTGGCGTGGTACGAGGTCGAGCCGCTGCCGACGGTGACATATGCCGGGCGCCCCGTCCCGTTCACTCTTTCGGGCGTGGCAGACCCGCGAGGCGCAACGTAGGTGTCGTGGCCGTCATCGTCTCGGTCGTCTCGGGCGTCTCGGGCGTTTCGGGCAGCGGACTTGCCTTTGGACACGGGCGGGAAGTACCCCTGGCTCATGGCAGTGGTGGCAATTGTGGCAGTCGTTAGACGTCGAGATCCATGGAATCGCCTGTCTGGGCGTCGATGTGGTAAAGGCACAGCGAGGGTTGGAGTGGTGGTGGATTGGAATTGTCGTTGGAGTCGATTTAGGTAGTAGCGGTGGGAGAGCGGAAGAGTGGTGTGAGAAAAATATGATGGTGATGTGATTATATTGCTTGCATTGAACCCGCCCCCGGCGGCAAGGTTACCGGAGTGAGGAGGCCCTGATTAGCACGACAGCTACCTAATGTATCTATCTACTAACAGTTAGCAGCTTTTGGAACGGGGTCTAGCATGCAGATGATTGGCTATGGCATCTTGAATTGCCGACCGTTGCGCGTGGTGCATACAGTACATATTTACCGTGCGAAAACCACTTACTATCTCTAGGTACCTAAGCAGGTACCTACTCTTCTACACTACCTAGGTGCTGTCTACCTAACAATTGACCATCCTGGCGTGGAGTGGAACACAGTATAAAGACCCGCATACAGTGTGCGATTACGAGGCCTTCTAGCAGACAGGCAAGGCAAGCACATGTTCCCCAAACCTTCTGACTGACGTCGTTTTGATCCCACTTACAGCGTCTAAAATTGCCTAAGGTTACCTACCTGGGTAAGACTGCCGCAGCAGTATACTCCCTATCTTATCTTCCTCCTGGTACCGCCGAGCAACGTTGGCCGAGACACGCATCAACAAGACAAGGACGCAACTTCACCAGCTAACTAGTTAGGCTCCCACATTTCTAGAAAGTCTTCTTACCGGACACGGGTTCAACCGCTCTCTCCTCTCCTCTCCCCAAACCAGATAGCCAGTTCAATCCAATCTAGCTATTTCGACCGAAGCGATGAATGTAAGCTTTTACCCAGCCGAACCTCGACTCCCATTCCTCCGTGCTCCCGACGAGGCAGGACAGGCTGCTAACGGTGATTTGTGCCGCAGATCTTGGAATGGGCTTTCGGCAAACGCATGACGCCCGCCGAGCGTCTGCGCAAGAACCAACGCCTCCTCGACAAGGCCATCCGCGAGATCGACCAACAGAAGGTCAAGCTGGAGAGGCAGGAGAAGCAGCTCGTGGGCCAGATCAAGCAGAGCGCCCAGAAGGGTCAGATGGGCGCAGCAAAGATACAGGCGAAGGACTTGGTGCGCACGAGGAGGTCGGGACAGCACCAATCCGTTTGATGTTCAGCCGCCTCGTCAACTGACCTCTTTTCCTATGCCACAGATACATCGAGAAGTTCTACGGGCTCAAGAGCAACCTGCAAAAGATCTCCCTGCGACTCCAGGTATGCCAGTGTCCGTGTTGAATGCCACGCGTCGCTAACACACGCTACTTGCAGACGCACCGGACAAACGAGCAGATGATGCAGGCCATGAAGGGCGCCACCATGGCCCTGGGAAGCATGAACCGCACCATGAACCTCCCCGCCCTGCAACGG